AAATCGCCTTGAGAAATACACAATCATGAAATATTTGGAAAAATTCTCCCTTTGAAACTGATGCACGATTTGCCAGCCCCAAAACTGAAGCTTAGCCTGGGAGGGCTCTTGGCTTTGCCCAGGAGAGATTTCAAGTGTGAGCTGGTGGGAGCAGGCAGCAATATTTTACTGAATGGAACTGCTCCTTGCAAAGCAGGGCTAACTCATAGGCACTACACCCAGAGTCAGCAACCTATGGGGTCTTTGCAAATACATTTCTATTCACTTATACCCACTTTCAATTATATGTACATTAAGGGCAGGTTAATGCAAATTGAGGGGAGAAGTATTTAGAACTTTCTATGAAAGAGGTGGTAACTTCCAGGCCATTGCCATGGGAACCTGTTGTAACTTCCAGTTCATTGCCATTGCATTTGTAAACTGTGACGGTGCTGGTGGGAGTCACCCGTGCTAATAAGCAAAGAGGGCAGCCAGGGATCACCTTTGTGGCCATCTGCTGGTTTCTGCCAGTTTCTCCACTTTATTCTGTCTGAATCACATCCTGTTTTAGTCAGCAGGGTTATGACCAGAAACAAGTCCTGCCAGTTTCCTACCTCAGATATATATTTGTGTATTCATCTAAAACCTGGGACAAGTTTCTCAGAGTGGAAACATTGTTTGGTAAAGCTGGATGCTTTTCTGAGGGGATAGGGTAAGATCAGAAAGTAATCCACACTTTTCAATCTTTAGGTAAATAAATTAAATAATGGATGAAAAACGAAAGCCTTAATATGATGCAGAATAGTAGATATTAGATTAATACAGGGTCATGGATTTTTCTTTGATAGGCTTGGCAGTAAAAATTTTAGTCTTTGTGGGCCACATAGATTCTGTGGCATATTGTTGTGTTTTTTTTAAAAAATAAGTGTTTAAAATGTAAAAAAAAAAAAATTATTATCTCAAAGCCTATGCAAAAATGAGCCATGGGCTGGATTCAGCTTGCAAGTCACAGTCAGCTAGCCCCTGGATTATCTTTTAATTCAAATATTTGAATGCTGCATTTTCATACCAGTAGTCAAAATATTAACAAAGGAGAGCTCTACCTCCACATAATATTTAGAAAGGCTCAAGAGAAAGCCACTTTAGCCCTGGAAATAAGAAAAAGCCTAATAATCGATATTATCAATTTCTTAGATCATGAGAGAGCTGAGGTAATAAGGTAGCCACAGGAACTGATATAAGAGGGTGACAAGTCCCTCTGAGGTGAGATGAGACACAAACTGTCACCTCTGGCAGAACATGTGTGCAAAAAGTGGGTAAGAAGAAAACACTCAAAATTAACAAATTCATAAAGTTTAAGCATAGGCTACTGAGAGAGCTGGAATCCCTGGAAGTCTCAGACATAAGTAGAATCCACATTCACAGACAAGTGAGATCCTGTCTCAAAGAAAATAATAGTCAAACTGTATAAGGCTGGATGAAAAATCAAGAACAAAAATAACAGATGCTGGGCAGTTCGTGGAGAAAAGGCAATGTTTATACACTGTTGGTGGAAGTGTAAATTATTTCAACCATTTTGGAAAGGAGTGTGGAAGGGAGGGAGGAAGGGAGGGAGGGAGGGGAAGAAAAAGAAAAATAGGGCTGAACAAATGTGTCTGTCTCTACCCAAACAGGTCTTCATGAAAAGGCACTTTGAGCAACTTACATGAGAAGTAACATAAATCAGAGGATGTATTAGTCCATTTTCGTGCTGCTGATAAAGACATACCTGAGACTGGGAAATTTACAGAGAAAAAAAAAAAAGTTTAATGGAGAGTTCACAGTTCCACATGGCTGGAGGCCTCACAATCATGGCAGAAGGCAAGGAGGAGACTTCCATTATTCTGTCTGTTGTTTCTCAGCAATTCAAACTTGCCTTGGGCCCCAGTGAATCCACGCATTCTCTTGAAGGGCACTTTTTCCCTGGATTAACAGCGCAGCTGAGAACCAACACAGACTGGTTAGTTTAGGAAGAAAAAGAAAAGAAAAATACAGGAGACCAACATTTCCTCCCCCATGATATTATTGTTCTCTTTTTACTTTTCCCATTCAATCTAGAGAAGGATATTTAAATCCCAAAATTTCTAAGCTGAGAGACCGCTGAAAGATCATCCTATAGAGTATAGCCATTTTCCAAATACTGTTTTAGCAACAGAACACTTTTGTGAAATGAAATTTCATCTAAAACCCTACTGCAGAAAACGGGGCAATAAAGTAATATTTTTTTTTTCATATAAATGTGTCACCTTAGTTTCAAGTTGTCTTTCTATAACGGCTGTCAGTAAATTTGACTGAGGTTCTTTTGAGGCACCTAAAAAATTGTTCTGTGGATTTCTGCAAAACACTTCAGTTCCACATTGACTTCTGCATCTAATTTTTTGGTATTTTTATTGTTATTGTTTTACAGGTGCAAGAAGATCTTGATTTTAACAATATATTGATCACTAATCTGTATCTTGGGGGGAAAAAAAGAACCCCACTTTAAAACTAAACAAGTTGCAAGTAAAGGATGGAAGAAGATATACCCTGCAAATATGAATCACATAAAAATTCAATGTGTCGGCCAGGTGCGGTGGCTCAAGCCTGTAATCCCAGGGCTTTGGGAGGCCGAGGTGGGCAGATCACGAGGTCAAGAGATCGAGACCATCCTGGCCAACATAGTGAAACCCCGTCTCTACTAAAAATACAAAAATTAGCAGGGCGTGCGTCTGTAGTCCTACCTCCTCAGGAGACTGAGGCAGGAGAATTGTTTGAACCCAGGAGGCAGAAGTTGCACTGAGCCAAAATCGCGACACTGCACTCCAGCCTGCATGCCTGGCGACAAAGTGAGACTGTCTCAAAAAAAAAAAAAAAAAAAAAAAAAAATTCAATGTGTCAAATTAATACCTCACAAAGCACACTTCGTAATGGGGATTATTACAAGGGACAAAATTGAACATTATATAATAATCATGAGATCTGGTCATTAAAAGTGTGTAGCACCTGCTTCCCCTCCCCCAGCAATGTCTCTTGCTCCTGCCTTTACCATATGAAGTGCTTGCTCCTGCTTCACCTTTTCCCAAGAGCAAAAGCTTCCTGAGGTCTCCCCAGAAGCTGAGCAGAAGCTGTTACCAGAAAGGGATCCCAATCCAGATCCCAAGAGAAGGTTCTTAGATCTCATCCAAGAAAGAATTCAGGGTGAGTATACCGTGCAAAGCAAAAGAAAAGTTTATTAAGAAAGTAAAGTGGTGAAAAGTACAGCTACTCTATAGACAGAGTAGGGTGTTCCCAAAAGTAAGAGAAGGAATGTGTCCACCCTATGTAAAATACTCATTTATATGCAGGATAAAAAAAGATCATGGGGAGATATGCTCTGCTACAAGGGTTTGTGATAAAGGATTAATTTTCTTAATTACTGTATTTTGCAAGAATCAATATTATGATCTTTAAAGCAAATTTAGGAATGTTTCTGTTCTCAAGGTATCAGGATACCAGGACACTCCTAAGTCTGAGTCTGTTCAGTAAATGTTATCAATCTGTTCCCTTAACCATAAACCTCTAGGGGCTAGAAATAATTAACTTTCTGAGAATGCAGCTAAGCAAGTCCCAGCCTCATTTTTCCTACCCCTCACTCAGAATAGAGTTGCTCTGGTTCGAATGCCTCTGACAAAGCCAGCGCCATGCTTTCTGTAGAACCTGCAGAGCCATGAGCGAATTAAAACCTCTTCTCTTTTTAAATTACCCAGACTCAGGTATTTCTTTACAGCAATGCAAGATGGCCTAATACAGGATCTGCATTGCTGAGGAGTCTCATGTTGATTGCAGTGTTTTCAGTGGTTCCTGAAGGAAGGATAACTTATCTCCCAAATCCTGTTGATGATGTTCATTTGCTCACACATGTCTGTGGCTGGTGTAACTTGCATTTTTGTCTCTCTCATCTTGGTCAGAATCTGGTGCTCCTTGGCTGACTCAGCCTTAGCCCATCTGTGCTGGCTTCTGCAGACCCCTCTGAATCTGAGCTTCATCCTCCCTTCCGCCCCTGGCCAGGGTTGTCCACTCCACAGCCTCAGCTGCCGGGTAACCTAGCCCCTATCTGACTGAGGCTTGCTTCATGGTAGCACTCTTGGCTCTTGAATCAGCCACTTTGCATACCCTCCAGCGCCCCCCACCCTCAACCTTCCTCAGATAATTCAGCCCCCTGGGTCTCACCTACCACACAGCAGTAACCACGATCAGCTCTAGAACACAAAATCCCTCATTTCTAACCATCTATTTGCCCACTTTGTAGATGATAGCATGATCCGATAGACATGGAGAACGTGGTGACTGAAATAAAAGGAATAATCATTACAAAAGCTTATTCCTTGAGAATGGTGGAAGGGCATGGGATCCAAGTGAAGGGTGTTAAGGAAAAAAATTATTCATGACATTTATTAAAGAACGGTAAGGCAGACTTTATCCATCAGGATAGGTGTAGGGACCACTGCAATGGGGGGTTATGTAGTGAAGGGAGAGAAACTTGCTTCCACTCCAAATACAACAAGGAAAAGCGAGGATTTATAGCCAAAAAGCAGGGTGGGGAGCAATGGTTGGAAAATTACTAAGAGGAAACACCAAAGGTAAGGGGGTATTCTGGCTAAATTGAACTAACAGGATTCTTGGTGAAGGTGGACTCCGGTGACCAGACATCGCCGGTGGGATGAGGAACCTGAGATATTGAGGATGGAGAATTCTAACTAAACTGACTTAGCAGGATTCTTGTTAAAACTGCACAATGCAGAGACAAACATGGAAGTCTAAAAATCCCCTGTCCAGGGCTGTCTGCTCCGCAGCCTCGGCTGCAGGGTCACTTAGCCCCTCGCCGGGTTAGGCTTCCTTTATAGTATGGATCTTTAGCTCTCGAATCAGCCACTTTCCACATCTGCCCCCAACCCCCAGGGACCTCCCCGGGATCCGTTGCGCAGGCCCAGAGCCCGGCAATCGTAGGCCAGCCCCGCCCTCCGGGCTGCGTTTTTCCGGCGGCGCAGAAACTTCTTGCGCGGTTGCTATGGTTCTGAGGGCAAGACTATGGGAGGCTGCCCTGTACGGTAGGTTCGTCGGGGCCTTTCCGGCCGGTACCAGTCCATTCTCTGGTCCCCACCGTCATCACGCTTTGCTTTCTCAGCCAAGATCTCGGGGCTCGGGGCGGTTACGCAGCGGAGATGTATTTTCCTCCGGGGTTTGTGGCGCTCGGCTCGTAAGACTTAGGGGTAGCAGTGTTGCTCCGCGAAGCGGCCCTGCTCGCCTCAGCCCAGCCCTTCGTACTTGGAAAAAAATGCTGCGAAGCATTCTCTGAAAGAAAATGCTGGTTCTTTGGTGGTCGGTGCCTTACAAGCCCTAGAGGCGGGGGGGCGGGGGGGGGCGGGTGAGGTGGCGAGACGTGGTCCCTTGTGAAAACTCCGTCAGTGGACAATACAATTCTGTTTTTCAAATTGGCATTTCTTCGGTGAGGCTGCTAGGTACCCTGGCAACTAGTATTTCTGTTTCTCTGATTGGTTTTGTCATCTTTCTCCAGGTGATACTTTGGTTCTATGGACCTTTATCAATGTATTATTTCATTACAAACGTCTCTGAATCTTATTGCAGAAAACTTGGTTAGACTGTGAAGTGTAGTAAAGAAAGCCAATCTTACCCACAATCTGATCACCCAGCCGTGACCATTAATCGTATTTTGTGATAAATTTCCTTGAATGTTTTTCATTCATAAAGTTGCATTCTAAACAAATGAGATTAACATTGTATCATGATTTGAACATTCCGCTTTTTAAACTCAGCTTCACACTTTGAGAAACCATTTTCATAGTATTAGTCTGTTTTAAAAACAATGCAAACATATTGTGAGCTCTTGAAAGTTTCAGTAAAACTTGAGCGCAAAATACTCAAAATACCATGATCAAAGACAACCATCACCATGCTCCCTAATGAAGGCGGGAGCTGTGTCTTGTGTTTGTTTTACTCTCTTATCCTGGGCACCCGGAGGAGTGCCTCGCACTTAGTGCATGCTCAGTAAACATTGTGAAATAAAATAATATTTACATCCAGTCATTTTTTTCTATATGTAATCAATCATTTCGTAATGGACTATAATATAGCAAAAGATTTCTACATGATTTTTTATTTGGCATTTTGTAGTCAGCATTTGCCTCTGTCATTAGGATATCTTAAAAATCCGTTTTATTGGCCTCAGCCAGTTCAGTTGACAAAGTGCATTTACTTGGTTGGTAACAGACTCAGGACAGAGGATCTTTCTAGGTTCGAAGCTCTTTCTTTCATTTCATAATAATCTCACTGAGGCTTCCGTAAGATGTAGCCTAGAATTTCCTTGGTAGATGCGGTGCATCTTTTATTGTTGCTCCATGTTTTGATCAGCTGTTAATATATTGCCTATCTTTCAGAAAAAAAAGACCCTACCCTGGATCAATTCGTAGAACTGAGATTCTGGAAGGCATCCCTAAGGTTATTTTCTGAAAGGCATGCTAAGGTTATTTTCTGGAAGGCATCCTAAGGTTATTTAGGCCGGTGGTGAAAAGCTAGTCAACGGAGCCTGCTGCACTGATTAAGATCATGTAATGAGGAGCTTGCAATATAAAGGAAAATACACTAACTATGAATTCAGGGGCCAAATTACCAATATGCTCTTGGAATTAGCGGCACAGACATATGACAGTAAACAGTATATAGGAAGCAAGCCTCATCTGACTACAAAGGTCTTTCCCCAAATCCGACTAACACTGCTTTGGCATGCTTCACACATGTCTGGGAGAAAATCACATTTCCTGCAAAAAAAAAAAAAAAGTGCCTTTTTAAACAATGTATTAAACAATGTATACAAATAAGCTGGATTCATTTGTACTGGCAAGTTCCTTATCATAAAGATATTGTTTGATTGGGACATGCAGTTCTTCATTAACTTTTACTTCCTGAAAACTTTTGTGGAGGACCTAGGGCCAAGGCTAAAGAGAACTTTCCTTCCATCCTTAGCTCTACCACCCTTACTCATTTTACTGTCTGAGTAGCTGGGCTTCTCTGGGCCTGCTCTTTCCTCAGTTTTAAGAAGAGTTCAGGCTATGTTAGTGGGTGTCACAGGAAAGCAGATCTAGGGAGAGATGTGGTTAAAGAGCCCCTGTTCCCAGTACAGGAACTCCTTTTTTTCCTATTATGTGTTGCTTTTAGTTTCTTAAAGAAAGTGGTTTAATTTAACAGAGTGTTAGAAATCACTGCACTACATGATCAGTACTCAGCCTCCCAAAGGTGAGAATTGACTAAAGAGTAATGAAATTATAAAAATGGGTAAACTCAGCCATTCTTAGAAGTATCAAAAACTCAAAAGTAGTCTCTAAGCAGATGGCTGGGGAGAATGTCTGATTCATAATAGAGTGCTGTGAAAGTTATATCAAATGCTGCAATCTGATTACTTATTGACAAGGAACTTGAAACTGAAGATGTAATCTTACCAATCATTGAAAACAATTTTGAAAAAAGAATATTTCAAGGAAGTAATTGGCCACAATCTCAAGGAAGTAGTCGGTGACAATCTAGTGGAGTAACTACTATGTCATAATACTAGTTGGTATAGCAACAGTAAGTGCCTAACCACATTCAACATACAAGAAATAGCTCTTCAGTGTCTCTACACCATTACAAGTATAATGACTTGTATTTAGCATGATATAGCTTTAATTGAGCTATAATTACTAGTAAATAGACACTGGCAGTTATACATGTCTTAAGTGTTATCTTATGGAAGGAGTTAAAACATCACTTACCCTGGAATTGTAACTTCATGGAGTCAAGACAATGAAACTAATCAGGTAGATTTTGAAAACTTAGCTATTAAATTCCTCATGTTCTTACTTTATTTTCAAGGGTCACTGAAAGTTATGAACATTATTTCTAGAAATGAAATTTACAGCCTGACTTTACTTACAGTTCTTATATTACATTTTTTATCTTCATGCCTGGTAATGGTGTACTTAAGACTTTTATGTCTTGGGATAGCAGATAGTGACATACTTTTTCAGGCAAGGTCTCATATATATATATATATATATATATATATATATATATATATATGTTGTCACTGCTTTACAGTTTAAGCGTCCAAAAGATTAATTGTTAGATGACATATTTTCCTCTCTCTTTGCAATTTATTTTCAGGAAAAGAAGAAATGGCAATAAAGAGGGCAACCATCATTCCCCCCAGCCCAAAAGGAGTAAGAGAAGCCCTGTCTTTCAGGATTCTCGAGATACAGAGGTAGGAAGTATGATTAGGTAACCTCTATTTCATTCATTGCCTACACTAAATTATCCAATTTGTGCTCCCTAATGAAAAGAAGTGTATTATTCCAAGAAACCTTCATGAAAGTGTTCTTGCTTGATTATGGTGGCTTTTGAGCTGGAGCTCTTAATTATTATATATAGTATCTCACAGAAGATGGAAAAGAAGCACAGAAAAACTTTGCTAAACATAATCAGGAGGAATTAGGCCCTGTAATTTTGCCCCTCATATGAGCAGGGAATAGTAGTCTTACTCGCCTTCTTTTCGTATGGAAAACATATTTTCTAGTATGTAGTGGTATGTTATTAGCTGGAAGGTAAGTCTTGCCTTCTCAGTGAAAAAGTGAAAAATCTGGGGCAGTCTCATGATTTTGCAAAACTTTAATGGTGCTGGAAAAAGCTTGAAGTTTTTAATTTTTTATTGATATAGAATAGTTGTACATATTTTGGGGGTACGTGTGATATTTTGATACCTGTATATAATGTGTAATGATCAAATCAGAGTAATTGGGATGTCTGTCACCTCAAACATATATCTTTTTTTGTGTTGGGAACTTATAATTCTTCTTTTCTATTTTGAAATACATAATAAATTATTATTAGCTGTAATTTTCCTACCATACTATTGAATACTATAACTTATTCCTTCTTTGTAACTATTTTTATACCCCTTAGCCAACTTCTTTTCATCTCCCCTTCCTCTTTTCTAACCTTCTGGTAACTACCATTCTAAGGAGCTTGAATTTTAACTTCAAGGTGCTTCACTTTAATGACTTGTATTCATTAGCATAATATAGCTTTAATTGAGATATAATTACTGGTAGAGTGTTAAAGGAGCCTCATAAAGTCTTTCTGAGTTAATCCTTTTAGTTAGTAACTAAGTATGGCTTACTTTTCCCTTTTTTGAGCAAGATGAGAAAAGATTATCAATCCATGTCCTCTTCCTGGTACCTACCTATACACAGGTATGATTATCCGAGATCCTGGGTAGCTACTTGGATCGGTAAAATGTAACTATATTTAACTTACGTAATTTGTTCTCTTAGGTGCTGGGGGATTTTTGTTGGATAAAGACCCAAACATTTCTGTACAAGTGCCTCTTACTTACCAGGAGCATTCATTGTACCTTTTTTTTTCCCTGGTCATCTTTTATTCTTTATTATTTTTTTATGATACTTTAAGTTCTAGGGTACATGTGCAGATTGTTCAGGATTGTTACATAGGTATATGTATGCTATGGTGGTTTGCTCCATCCATCCCCCCATCATCTACATTAGGTAATTCTCCTAATGTTATCCCTCCCCAGTCCCCCCACCCCTTGCTATGCCTCCACTAGCTCTCCCACCCCCCAACAGGCCCTGGTGTATGATGTTTCCCTCCCTGTGTCCATGTGTCCTCATTGTTCAACATCCACTTATGAGTGAGAATATGTGGTGTTTGGTTTTATGTTCTTGTGTCAGTTTGCTGAGAATGATGATTTCCAGCTTCATCCATGTCCCTGCAAAGGACATTAACTTATCCTTTTTTATGGCTGCCTAGTATTCCATGGTGTCTATGTGCCACATTTTCTTTATGCAGTCTATCATTGATGGGCAGTTGGGTTGGTTCCAAGTCTTTGCTATTGTAAACAGTGCCACAATGAATATACGTGTACATGTGTCTTTATAATAGAACAATTTATAATCCTATTTATAATACTTTGGGTATATACCCAGTAATGGGATTGCTGGGTTAAATGGTATTTCTATTTCTAGATACTTGAGGAGTCACCACACTGTCTTCCACAATGGTTGAACTAATTTATACTCCCATCAGTTTACTGAGTAATAGAAGAAATTAAGAGTGGAAAATTATGTAGATATGCACACAAGTGGCTTATCTGGAGCAGATCTCTGCCTTTTTCGCTTCCCTACTGTATAGATTAGGAAAAGATTTTCTGTCCTAATGCTACAATTCCAAGGGGGCAGCAGAAGTAAGACAAATGAGAGAAAAACAGAACCAGGAGGCCCCATATACTTTTAAAATTAAGAGTTCTATGAATCCTATTATTTTTTTAACTGATAGGAAATCTCCCCTTGTCAGATTATTTTAAGTAATATCAATTCAGATGACAACTGAGACTTTTTTTTTTGAGACAGAATCTCACTGGGTCACCCAGACTGAAGGTGCTATGGCATGATCTCCGCTCTCTGCACCCCCCACCTCCTGGGTCAAGTGAGTCTCCCGCCTCAGCCTCCCGAGTAGCTGGGATTACAGGCATGCACCACTGTGCCTGGCTAATTTTTGTGTTTCAGTAGAGATTTTTCCATGTTGGGGTTTTTCCATGTTGGCCAGGCTGGTCTCGAACTACTGGCCTTAAATGATTCTCCTGCCTTGGCCTCCCAAAGTGTTGGGATTACAGGTGTGTGGCACCATGCCCCGTGTTGGTGAAATTTTTTGAAGAACATTTTCTCTTAGGTTCTTTCTCATTTTAAGAAGCCCGGTTATACTAAATATCCCAAGCACTTTCATATTGCAGTTGAATCGTACAATCTCAGTTGTTTTAATGAATTGAAGATGAATATGTCCACATGTTTTTTTCTGCAGGTGAGGATTACCTATTAGTCTTTTTTTTTTTTTCATTTCTTTTTGTTTGTTCAAATCCCATTTATTGAATTGAAACAAGATGAGTTGCATAGATTTTTAAATAATTGTATAGATTCTATTATAAATTGAATTTGTAAGCTGAAAAATAACTTACAACTCACTGTCTGTTCTAACTTCATCTTATGAGAGAAGCTGAGCTACAAAAAGCGTAGATTATTTACCCCACCAGCACAGAGAAGTTAACACATGAATATCATTGCCTTGCTAATTTGGAAAGTGGTTGTAATTCAACAACCTAATTCACTTGGTATTTTACGGTTCATAAGATTCCACAATGTTTCTAGTATTAGGGAATGTGGACGTGTCATTATAAATGCACTGGAACTTTAGGAGCACATATTTTAAATGCCCTCTGATGGATTTGGTTAGGATCATCTGTTTTACTTACTCAAGTTTCTACAGGTGCCTTTGAATAAACATCATATTATTATTCCAGGGATAGAATATGTATTAGGAATGAATGTTTCGTTATGGAGGTTCACATAAAGGAAAAGCTCTAAGGCATGGAGGGATAGAATTGAGAGGAAAGCTAAGGTTTGAAAGAAAGTATGCTACCAGGTTCATCTGCTTTTACAATTAAGAAGAGTTATATAATTTTATATCATAAATGCATGCATGAATTTCTGCTGTATTTTTATGAAGATATTCTGTAATTGATATTCCTTCTCATCTCCTCAGTTCTATTTATCTACTGTTTCCTTCATTCGCCTGCTAAGGTTCTCTTTTTACTCCCTAACAAATCTTGCGTCTGGTTTATTTTTCTCTCAAGTACTGTGTCTTTTCTCTCTCTTCTAAATCCAAACTGTAATCTGCATTCACTCCCTTTTATTTCTCACCTCCCTTCGTGCAGCTGCTCACTAAACTTTACCTCCTCCATCCCCTCCCGACTCCTTTGCTATAACATATGTCAGGAAACATCTGAGACTTCCTAAATTTTATTACCAAATATTTACTGAGCACCTACCATTTGGCAAGCATTGTCCTGCGTGCTTGGCATCAACTTAGATGTCTCTGTTATTTCCTCAATGACTCCTTTCTGTTCTACCTCCGCATGTATCAAATGCATCTCTTTCTTTACATTTCCACCATCCTAATTCAGGCTTGCATTGTCTCTTGCTTGATACATTGCAAAATTTCCCAGTGGTTTTTGTGGTCTCATCCACCCCCTATTTGATTCATACATTACAATGCTCTTCTTAAATACAGATCTGAGCATTTATCTTATGCTCAAATACCTATTTGTACAGACTTCTTAGAGTGACATTCAAGGGACCTGATAACCTAGCCATATCTTCTTTTGCATATTTTGGCTGTCACTAACTCCTCTCTGGGAGATATCAGCCACGTCATCTGTGGCTTTGTCTACTCAAAATCTCTTCTTCAGCTTACTTGTGCTCTTACTGTTCCCTCCATTTGTCACACACTTCCTGTTAATATTTTCTGTATCTTTCAAGGCTTAGCCCAGATGCCTTTCATTTTAAGAAGCCTCCTCTATTTCCCCAGTCAACATTCATTGCTCCATTTTTGTCATTGCAATAGCTTGACGCTGTCATTCTCAAAGTATTGTATTTTTCTTGATTAGGCTCAAGAATTCCCTGTTGACTCCCTAAGTAGCCCAAGCAAAGTGCTTCCTTATACATTGTATAATAGACATGCAAATATTTGTTTAGATACTGGTTGGACATCAGAACAATCTGTGCCTACTTGAGAGCCTCTCAGAGGTTGGGCCCCACAGGTTGGGCATGTGAATCAAAGTGTCAGAAAGCCACACAGGTGGTTCTGATGCCTATTCTAAAACAGAATATGTTATGGCAAATCCCTGCTGGCCTCAAAGTTTCTTTTGTTACAGGTAAGTATGCAGATTTCGTTATGGCCCAAACTAACCTAAATCTTGCTTTTTCACACAAACCTGGACTCCAGGGTTTTTGTAAAGTGCCTTTGTGAATTTTGCATAATGAGATACCCTTCTTTAGCGTCTTCATAAATATAATTTTATTTTGCTATGTATGTAAATCTGCAAGGGCTCTGTTCTTCATTTGCCTTGCACAGATACCAGCATTAAATCTATATTGAAAATGCAGAGAAAACAGAATGAGCTTTGGAACTGTCAGATAGAATAAGCATTCCAGTAAGACATTTTTATGAGGAATCAGGAGGATGATGAAAATGTTTTATATATTATGAGTCTTTCCAAACACTGGAGTGCTTAAAAATCTTACTTATTCTCTGATAAAAGAATTTGCAGTTTGCAAGGCTGAGGCAGGAGGATCCCTTGAGCCCAGGAGTTCAAGGCCACAGAGAGCTGGGATTGCAGCAATCCAGCCTGGGTGT